GAAGCAAAGCAGGGCATAACACGATGATGATGATGAGGATGATTAAGGTAATGTGGGAGGATAAGATAAGATGATTACAGGAATTAAATTAAAGGTAAGAATATTTCAATGGAACCCCTTTAACCCTACACCAAGGGAAACAAAGTAGACTTTGATGAGCTCCTTTCATTAAAGAGTTACTCTGTCTGGTTTTTTTTTTGGTTAAATAATCCCATTTTATGGCTGTCTAGCAACCATAGTTTTACCTTTTCTTGTCTCTTCCTCCAATTCCTTCTCCTCCTCTTCCATCCTCCATGTCATGAAGAAAAATCGCATTAATAAATGTCATCATCCGCTCTCAAGATCCAATTCCGATTCCATATGCCAGCCAACCAGCCAGCCAGCCGTATGAATATGACAACGCTGACTCGTGAAATGTTGATTACAATTTCAATAAATAATGGAATTTCTGTCGATTCCCGTTCATACCGGCCAACCAGCTGTAGTCTTCGCAGGTTAAGAGTTAATTAATGTAGTCTTAAAATAAAGTGCTTAAATTGCGTTGAAACATTCCATTCCGTCATTCAAACAGCCAGACTGGCAGGCCGTCTGGCATTCGGGCCGAGAGTCATCAACAGGGCCAAGAAGGCAGTCTCTGTTCGTAAACTAACCATGGCAAGTCTCTTTGGAGGCTTAAGTCGGATAATTAAGTCTTAAATGTAAAAATCGCTACTCTTGTATCGGGGTATTTCGAAATGACTTACAGAATGGAATAATAAGTGGTGTTCATGGAATTTCACCAACCAGAGAGGGAGAGGGGAAGAGAGAGGCGAAAGATGTGAAGAGAATTGGGAAGGAAAGTATTTGCCATTTTTCTCTGTCTGCTGGATTATTGTTGTTAAGAGGGAAATGGAAAGAATGTGAAATTATCACACGACAGATAATTAATTTGTTAAAATAAAGGATAACAAGAACAACAACAATAAAGGAAGGGTTAAAAATGTATTTTTTTAAAACAAGGCGTATGAGTACTGGCAATACGTATACGCCATCTAAAAAAACTAAAAAATAAGGCGTATGAGTACTGACAATACATATACGCCACCTAAAATATTGAAATAAAAGAGGATGGATTTAAGATTGTTTTTTTTAGGAACCATTCGAGGTCCAAATATTATTTTCTTAACATTTTTATTTTCAAGGAACAACCAAGTCGAAATCTAGAGCTTTCCAAGGGATTTTCAAAAGATGTAATAAAGGGTTTAGAACGGATTTGTAAAATATTTTTTAAGGCTTTTGAAAAATTTTAAGATATTTTCCCTAGTTGCGTATACATGTTGGCAGCACTCATACGCCATCCTCCCTAACCTAATATCACCAAATTCAACCCCCACATTTTTCCATAAAATATTCTCTAGAAAGAGTTTTTTTTTTTTAATAATAGTAGTATCTGGAATGCGTTACTCAACTACCCTTGCCAAACCTCTTCCATCGCCATGGACTAGCAGAGCCCTAAACGAAAACTTTTTATAGATTTTTTTCAGAGCTCTTTGAGCGGATATTTTAAACGATTTTTCCATGGACTAGCAGAGCTCCATTCTTAGATTTTTTAAAGATTTTTTTTTGCACCTCCACTGCGATGAACTAGTGGAGCCCTAAACGAGAACTTTCCATAGATTTTTTTCAGAGCTCTTTGCGCGGATTTTTTAAACGATTTTTCCCATTGACTGTGGATGTGGATCTTTTAAATAATTTTTTTTCAAGGACTAAATGTGGATTTTTTGAAGAGTTTTGTCCCAAGAACTTTTTTTAAGATTTTTTTTTCAAGAATCAGGTTTTTTAATTTTTTTTTTTCAAAAATAAAGAATTTTTTTCAAAAATCAAAGTGGGGTTTTCAAATATTTTTTTCAAGGATCAAACGTGGATTCTTAGAGAATATTTTTCCAAGGAATTCTAAAGCCACAAACGTGGATTTTTTTAAAGATTTCTTTCCAAGGACTAACAGGACTTCAAACGTGGATTTCTTAAAGAACTTTTTCAAGGACTTCTAGAGCCACGAATATGGATTTTTTTAGAATTTTTTTCCAGGACTTTTATCCACAAATGTGGATTTTTTAGAATTTTTTTCCAGGACTTTTATCCACAAATGTGGATTTTTTAAAGATTTTTTAAGGACTTCTAGAGTCAAAAACATGGCTTTTTAAAATAATTTTTCCTCAAGGACTTCTAGAGCCACAAATGTGGATTATTTAAAGATTTGTTTAAGAACTTCTGGAGACACAAACGTGGATTTTTCAAGAATTTTTTTTTCAAAGACTTCTCGAGCCACAAACGTTTTTTTTTTTAAATTTTTTCCAGGACTTCTAGCCACTAATTTTTTAAAGATTTTTTAAGGACTTCTAAAGCCACAAACGTGGATTTTTTCAAGAATTTTTTTCAAAGACTTCTAGAGTCACAAACGTGGATTTTTAAAAGAATTTTCCTCAAGGACTTCTAGAGCCACAAACGCGGATTTTTTAAAGGAGTTTTTTTTAAGGACTTTTAGAGTCACAATCACGGGTTTTTTCAAAAATTGTTTTTCAAAGACTTCTCGAGACAAACGTGGATTTTTTTTAGAATTTTTTTCCAGGGCTTCTAGCGTCACAAAACATGGCTTTTTAAAAGAATTTTTCCTCCAGGACTTCTATAGCCACTGATGTGGATTTTTTTTTAAAGATTTTTTAAGGACTTCTAGAGCCACGAACGTGGATTTTTTCAAGAATTTTTTCAAAGACTTCTAGAGCCACAAACTTGGATTTTTTAAGAGTTTTTTTTTTTCAGGACTTTTAGTGCCACAAATGTGGGTTTTTAAGTAATTTTTTCAAGGACTTCTAGAGCCACAAACGTGGATTTTTTAAAGAATTTTATTTTCAGGGATTCTAGAGCCAAAATCGTAGGCTTTTTGAAGAATTATTTTCAAGGACCTCTAAAGCCACAAACGTTGAGTTTTTGAAGATTTTTTCCAAGGACCTCCAGAGCCACAAACGTGAATTTTCTAAACATTCTCTTCCGAGGACTAAAAGATCATCAAACGCCGTTTTTTCGAGTATTTTTTCCAAGAACTAACACAGCTCCAATTTTTTTTCGCAGAGCTCTACGCCACAAACTTGGATTGGATTTTTCCAGGACTAACTGAGTAACAGATTTAAAAAAAAAAATCCAAGGTCTAACTGTGTCACAAATTTGGAATTTTTAATAATTTTTTCCAAGAACAAGATTTTTTCAAAGAATTTTTTCAAGTACTAGCAGGTCTTCCAATAGGGATTTTTCAAAGTTTTTTTCAAGGATAAAACGTAGATTTTTTTAAATATTTTTTTTCCAGTACTAGCAGTTCTTCAATGGAGTGTTTTTTGAAAAGAATTTTTTCAAGTATCAAACGTGGACTATTTAAAGAATTCTTTCAAGTAATAGCAGGTCTTCCAATGGGGATTTTCAAAGATTGTTTTCAAGGATAAAACGTGGATTTTTGTAAAGAATTTTTTCAAGTACTAGCAGTTCTTTAAAGGAGTATTTTTTTAAAGAGCTTTTTCAAGGACTAACAGTTTTTCATAGGAGTTTTAATTTTTGAAAAATATTCAAGGATCCAACGTGGATTTTTTAAAAGATTTCTTTCAAGGACCAACAGTTTTTCCAAGTAGGATTTTTCAAAGATTTTTTCAAGGATAAAACTTGAATTTTTTTATTGGATTTGCAAACGGGGATTTTTTTAAGAATCGTGGACTTTTTAAAGATTTTTTTCAATGACTAACAGTTTTTCAAAGGATATTTTTTTCAAGGATCAAACGTGGATTTTTTTAAAGATTTTTTTCTAGGACTAGCAGTTCTTCAAAGACAATTTTTTCAAGAATAAAACTTGGATTTTTTTAAAGATTTTTTTTCTAAGACTAGCAGTTCTTCAAAAACAATTTTTTCAAGGATAAAACGTGGATTTTTTTCAAGGATCAAAGTTGGATTCTTTTATAGAATTTTTGCAAGGACTAGCAATTCTTCAAAGGAGGATTTCTGAGGGTTTTTTAAGTTCTTCAAATGAAAATTTTGTTTAAAAAAAATTTCAAGGATCTAACTTGGATTTTTTTAAAGATTTCTTTCAAGGGCTAAAAGTTCTTCAAATTAAAAAAAAGGTGGATTTTCTTTTGAATTTTTTCAAGGATCAAACGTGGATTTTTTTAAGATTTTTTCAAGGATTAAACATGGATTTTTCAAAGATCAAACATGGATTTTTCAAAGATTTTTTAAGGATCAAATTTGATTTTTTTAAAGATATTTAGACACTCATTCATATGGCTACAGAGGGTATATACCATTTAATATGACCAAAATGTGCCTCATCGAAATGGCGGAAAACGAAAAACACAGGGTCTAAAACTCTAAAGGCTAACCTGTCAATTCTTGAAATTATTATTTCAGACCTATTTCATTTTCTCATGAATTTGCCAATATTAAATTTTGACGTATAAGTGTTGTCAATACGTATACACTCCCTGTTTCAACTTTCATTCCCATTCCTCTCTCGTTGTTTGCAAAAATATAAGCCTAGTTACATTTTCCGGTTCTCGGCGAGGAAAGTTTTTATTTTTTGTCTGTTACCCCTACCATTATCTGCAGGAAAACAAAATACAAACAAGTTTATGACACACTTGTTGTGTAGCACGTGTTTTTCACTCTCTCGTTTTCTCTCTTACTCTCTCTCGTATTAAATTCCCATAGCAAAATGTGAGAGAGTCGCCTGTATAACAGTTTCCGTTTCCCATTTTGTTCCCCTGTCTCAAGCCAATGCTGCTGCTTTTGTTACGCCTGGTTATAACTGTAACTGAGCATGTGTGTGTGTGAGTGTGTCTGCCTGATGCATGCTGGCTGGCTGGCGTTGTGTTACAGCTCATATCTATGTTTGTACATGCTTGGACCCAGACTAAACCACAATTTCCAGTAACAAAGGAATCCAACAAATTGACAACAATTCAGTTACTTTTTAGACTTTCAACGATGCGGTGCGGTTGTTGAGCTCGATCCGAATATTTCGATGTGTCGCAAAATAAACTGGAAAATTTTGTCCGTCTATGGTTCTGGAGAGAAGATGTTGTGAGAGTGTCTTCGCTATCGGAATGTGTATCGGTGTTTGGTGAAATAAAAAAATAAAAAAAAAAATTGAAGTGAATCGAAAAAAAATTAATAAAAATTGAATGAAACAAAAAAAAAAAAAAAAACTCAAGAAGGAAAAATTCTGAAAAAAGGAATACTTGTTGCCATTGTGGGTAGAGAAAATTGAGAATAAAGAAAAGTGTGAAAAAATTTTGAAAAAATATAAATCATAAAAAATAAATGAAGAAGCTATAAATTCTGGGCCAACTCCCTGGAAAAACATAAATCTCTAACCTCTCCCACTTTGCCAACTTGGTGAGGGAAACAAAAGAAACCCATAACAAATTCCAACATGTTATTTTGGGTGGTTCCCCTTGCCCTCTAGCCAAGACGGGGAGGCAATACGACGTGTACTCAGCCAAACATAGTTTGTAATTTGTATTATCTCTTCTCGCTCCGAATTTTCGGTATCTGAACGTGGCTAAGGGCAGCTCGTGATCGTGGTTGCGTGCATGTGCATGTGCGGCAAGGAGTAGAAGAAGCGTGTCTGTGCAGCTGCTTAATTTAAAGTTACAACCCAAAGGATTTACAGCTAAACCAGTTACAACTATGTGTTATTTAGTGGCTTAACCATATTACCAACTTCGTTTGCATCACTGTCATTATACGTGCCGTGACAGAAGAAGAGGAGGAGGAGTAGCCGAAAAAAAGAAACACAACATTTTACAAAACAGGCAAAAGGAGTTCGAGTCCTGGCAAATATTCATCAGCTGCAAACAAGTAATGCTCTAAATGGTAATTATTTAAGTTTTGTTTACCCAACATTATTTTCGCTGGGAAAGCAAAAATGGAAAGAAAAAATTCTTCTTCCATATTGGACACCCTGAAAACTTGCCGGTAATTTTGCTCCGAAAAAAAAAATTCCAAGAAATTGTCACACATCTTCCAATCAATATTCAAATGGTAATGGAAAATTCGGTTAGCTTTTGAAGTTTATTAGATTGTCTTGTCTTGGAAAATTCCAAGAATTATTTTTTTTTGTTTCACAAATGACTTCTCCTTCCAAGGAAATACGCAAAACAAACGTAAACCGTGCAGAAACAACAAGTCCCAAAAGACAAATAACGGGCCCAATGTGGCGTATAAGTGTTGACAGCACGTATACGCTGTGGGGTTCTGCGGAAATAATTGATTATTCCTTTGAAGTAGGAAAACTATGTTGGCTTTAATTGGGTTGGAAAAATTCCAGAGAAAAGTCATTATTAATTTATGCAGGAAGAGATTTGTTTGAATTTGGAAATTTTGGGATTTTTTGGAAATTTGAGAAATACAATCTTGGATTTGTTAAACACATCAAGGACCAACAGTTCCCAATTTTTTTTAATATTTATTTTTAAGGACCAGTAGAGCCACACGTTTGGATTTTCTAAACAAATTTTCTCGGGACAAACAGGAACAAATTGTAGAAGTCAAATAAAAACAATATAGGGCCAATGTGTATACGCTATACGTGCTGTCAACACTTATACGCGGAAATAATTTATTATTCCTTTGAAGAGGGAAAACTATGTTGGCTTAATTGGGTTGGAAAAATTCCAGAGAAAATTCATTATTGATTTATGCAGGAAGAGATTTGTTTGAATTTGGAAATTTTGGAATTTTTTTCATTATTGAAATTTTGAGAAAGACAAACTTGGATTTTTCTAACACACTTCAAGGACCAGTGGCTCCCAAAATGTTTTTTTTTTCTAAAGAGACCCTCAAACTAGGAGTTTCTAAACAAATTTTCCCAGGAAAAACAGGAACAAATTTGAAAAAACAAACAACGGCATCAATGTGGCGTATAAGTGTTGACAGCACGTATACGCTGTGGGGTTCTGCGGAAATAATTGATTACTTCTTTGAAGAGGGAAAACTATGTTGGCTTTAATTGGGTTGGAAAAATTTCAGAGAAAACGGCAATATTGATTTATGTGGGAAGAAATTTGTTTGAATTTGGAATTTTTGGGATTTTTTTTAATTATTGAAAATTTGAGAAAGACAAACTCGGATTTTTTACACATATCAAGGACCAACAGTTTCAAGTTTTTTAATATTTATTTTTAAGGACCCTAGTGGTCCACAAATTGGATTTTCTAAACAAACTTTCTAAAACGATATAGGGCCAATGTGGCGTATAAGTGTTGACAGCACGTATACGCTCCGGGTTCATTTGGAAATAATTGATTATTTCTTTGAAGTTAAAAAACCATGTTGGCTTTGGAGAATTTCAGAGAAAAAGTCAATATTGATTTATGTGAGCTAGAGATCTCTTTGTATTTGGAAAATTTAAAATTTTATTTATTATTGAAAATTTGAGAAAGACAAACTTGGATTTTTTTTACTCTCTCTCAAAAATTTTTTAGAGTATTTTTTAAGGACTACTAGAGCCCCAAACTTTTATTTTCTAAACTAATCTTCTCGGGACCAGCAGAAAAATTTCAAAAGATTATCAAGGGTGCTATGTGGCGTATAAGTGGTGATAGCACGTATACGCTCTGGGTTCCTCGGAAATAATTGAAATAATTTATTTGAATGGAAAACGTAGTTGGTTTTAATTGAAATGACGAATTTCAGAGAAAAGTCAATATTGATTTAGAGAGATCTGAAACTGATCTAGACATTTAGGATTTTTAAAAATTTGAAAAAGACAAACCTGGATGGGTGTAAAACCCATCAAGGACCAACAGCTTTCACATTTTTTTTGAAGAACATTTTCGAACATTGAACCTGTTGAGGGACCCGTTAAGGTGCTGTTGATTTTCTAAACAAAATTTCTCGGGACAAACAGAAAAAAAATTTAAAAATAAATCAAGGGTCCAATGTGGCGTATAAGTGGTGATAGCACGTATACGCTCTGGGTTCCTCGAAAATAATTGAAATAATTCATTTGAAAATATTTGATTGTTTCTTTGAAGTAGGAACTATGTTGTTTTAATTGGAATGACATTTTTAAGAGAAAAGCCAACATTAATTTATTTGAGAAAAAAATCTGTGTTTGAAAATTTTTACAATTATTTGAAATTTGAGATTTTTAGAAATTATTTAAATTTGGATTTTTCGACAATTTTTTTAAACCAACAAAGGCACACACTTTGGTTTTTAGTAATTCTTTTCCAAGAAGCAACAGAACTGAAAACTTGAAAACGGCTTGGAAATGGATTTTTTATTCGATTTTTTTCAGGGACTAATGGAAAAGGTTTTTTTATTATTTTTTCGAGGGAAATTATTTTTTTAAAAAAATATGTGTCTCGTTCTGTACCTTTTTTTAAGGAATGAAGAGAAATCATTATTTAGTATTTTTACAGTAAAAAATAGATTTTCGGTCATTTTATTGCATTCATCTCCACAATTTTCTTGGAAAATACATTTTCCTATCAATTAACAGTAATTATTAAGTTTCCATGAAGTGCCAAGAATACATTTTCATAAATAGGGGAATTCCCCATATGATTTCTTGGAATTTTATCAATGAAATTCGAATAATTTCTGTTGACAAAAATATCAAATTGGCAATGTTGCGTATACGTGTTGTGAGGAAATATACGCTCCCTATGTGCGTATGTGTGTAATTCAAAGAAAAGGCAATTTTTTCTGGAATTTTTAGAAGGCAATTTGCCTTGAATTTCAATGAAAATTTATTTTCATAACAATTTTTGGAATACCCCAATTTTGGTATTTTTTAGTCCATCAATCCTGGAAAAAAATTAAAAATAAAACTGGTTGTCTTCAGGATTGAAATCTTTCAGTTGCGAAAAAAAGTGTTTATAAAAACCCCGTTTTGATCTCTTAATCCTGGAAAAAAAATATTTTTCCCAGCTATTTGAAAAAACATTTTGGAATACCCTAATTGGAATTCCCTAATTTTGATTTTTTTGTCCTTGCAAAATCCAAGTTTTCATGCCTTCTAATCCTGGAAAAAAATATTTTTTCCAACTATTTTTATTTTCTATGATTTATGTGTTTGATTTCTCTTTCGAGAGATTTGTTTATTTTCTTTGCAATAAATTATTTAAAAAATCCATAATTTGATGTCCTGTGATCCTGCAAAAAAATATTTAAAAATAAAACTCCTTGTCTTCAGGACTTAAGTCCTTTAGTCCAAAAAAAAAAAAAAAAAAATAAATAAATAAATAAAAAAAATACCAGTCCTGATATGTCCTAATCCTGGAAAAAATATTTTCCCCAGCTATTTGAACAAAAAATTAGGGTATTATTTTGGTATTTGAAAAAACTATTTAAAAAAAAAAATTAAAATTAAAAAAATGCAGTCCTGCAAAAATATTTTTAAATAAAAAAATATTTTCAAAATCGCCGTTTTGATATTTTTTAATACTAGAACAAATATTTTCCAAAAAAAAAGAAAATTAAAAAATCACAAAAAATGTATTTTTTTGTCTTTCAAAGAATATTAAAAAAACCCAAGTGTTGATGTCCTGCAATCCCGATCAAAAAAATATTTAAATATAAAACTTGTTGTCTTTAGGACTGAAGTCCTTCAGTTCCGAAAAAAAAAAATATTTAAAAAGATCCCCGTTTTGATATCCTCCTAATCCGGGGAAAAATATAAGACTTCAATCCTGACTTTTTTCCAGGACTTCAGGACATCGATTTTTTAAATATTGTTTCTTCAAAGATTGAAAAATACCAAAATTTTTGTATTCCAAAATTTTAGTTCAAACAACTGAAGATAACGAGATTTGTTTTTTAATATTTTTCCAGGATTTTGCAGGTTATCAAAATTTGAATTTTTTAATAGTGTTTTTTTTTTCAAGGATTGAAAAATACCAAAATTAGGGTATTCAAAAATATCAGTTCAAATAGCTGGGAAAATATTTTTTCCAGGATTAGGGGGTATAAAAACGGGGATTTTTAAAATTTTTTTTTAAATATTTTTTCCAGGATTGCAGGACATCAAAACTCGGATTTTTTCAATAATTTTTTTGCAAAGACTGAAAAATGCCAAAATTAGGGTATTCCAAAATTCTAGTTCAAATAGCTGAACTAAAATTTTTGAATACCATTATTTTAGTATTTTTTAATCTTTGAAAAAAATCCAAGTTTTGATGTCCTGCAATCCTGGAAAAAATATTTAAAGATGAAAAGTATATCTCCGTTTTGTTATCTCCTAATTCTGGAAAAATATTTTCCCAGTTATTTGAACTAACATTTCTGAATATGCCAAAAATTATGGTATTTTTCAGTCTTTGAAAAAATTATTTAAAAAATTGATGTCCAGAAGTCCTGGAAAAAAGTCAGAATTAAAGTCCTTCTGTCCCGGAAAAAATATTTAAAAAATCCAAGTTTTAATGTCCTCCAATCCTGGGAAAATATTTTCCCCAGCTATTTGAACAAAAATTTTGAATTTAATTTTAAATTTATTTTCTATTGCCCCGAAACCCCCTCTGTCGACCAAAAATAAAATATCTGTGTCACAACTTCCTTTGAAACACCCACTCCGAATTGAGACAATTTTATCGTTTTTTTTTTGGAAATATCCGAAGTTCTGTGAAACAAAACTGTCAGTTTTGTGTAAGCTTTGGCGTTTACACATCCTTTTAGCTGGCTGAGCCAGATGATGATGATGACGACGACCCCAATGACGATGATGGCCAGTTAACATAACAACAAAAACAACAGCAAGAATCCCCTAGACATCACTTAAAGGCTAAAAACCGAAAAACGAACTTTTCATTTTCTTTTCCAGTTTTTTTTTCGGTGGCTGACTGGCTGGAAGGCTGGCTGACTGGCCCAGT